AGGACCTCTATATCAGGCGGTGTCAGAGGAAATCCCAATCTACAATATTTTTACCCCTTTTTCTCCCCAATTGGTGGTTACAGTCTTGTCCCATCGCTGCAACTCCCGTACAGACTCGGGAGAGGCGAAGGTCGAGAGCCATACGTCCTCCGAAACACGACCCCGCCAAGCCGCACTGCCCGCTTAACCCGGAAGCCAGCCACACCAATGTGTCAAAGGAAACACTGTACAGCTGGCGACCGAAGTCAGCGTGCATGCACCCGGCACGCAACAAGGGGTCGCTAGAGCGTGATGGGACAAGGACATCCCAGCCGGCCAAACCCTACCCTAACGACGCTGGGCCAATAGTGCGCCGCCTCATGGGTCTCCCGGTCGCGGCCGGCTGCGACACAGCCTGGGATCGAACCTGTGTCTGTAGTGACGCCTCTAGCACTGTGATGCAGTGTCTTAGACCGCTGCGCCACGCGGGAAGCCCATTGATCATCCTTGAGATGTTTCTACAACTTAATTGGAGTCCACCTGTGGTAAATTCAATTGACTAAACATGATTTGGAAAGGGACACACCTGTCTATATAAGGTCCCACAGTTGACAGTGCATGTCAGAGCAAAAATCAAGCCAAGAGGTCGAAGGAATTGTCGGTAGAGCTCCGAGACAGGATTGTGTCGAGGCACAGATCTGGGGAAGGGTACCACAACATTTCTGCATTGAAGGTCCCCAAGAACAGTGGCCTCCATCATTCTTAATTGAAAGAAGTTTGGAACCACCAAGACTCTTCCTAGAGCTGGCCGCCCGGCCAAACTGAGCAATCGGGGTAGAAAGGCCTTGGTCAGGGAGGTGACCAAGAACCAGATAGTCACTCTGAACAGAGCTCAAGAGTTCTTCTGTGGAGATGGGAGAATTTTCCAGAAAGACAACCATCTCTGCAGCACTCCACCAATCAGGCCTTTATGGTAGAGTGGCCAGACGGAAGCCACTTCTCAGTAAAAGGCAAAAGACAGCCCACTTGGAGTTTGCCAAAAGGCACCTAAAGGACTCTCTGGTCTGATGAAACCAAGATTGAACTCTTTGGCCTGAATGCCAAGTGTCACGTCTGGAGGAAACCTGGCACCATTCCTATGGTGAAGCATGGTGGTGGCAGCCTAATGCTGTGGGGATGTTTTTCAGCGGCAGGGACTGGGAGACTAGTCAGGATCGAGGGAAAGATGAACGGAGCAAAGTACAGAGAGATCCTTGATGAAAACCGTCTCAAGAGCGCTCAGGACCTCAGACTGGGACGAAGGTTCAACTTCCAACAGGACAATGACCCTAAGCACACAGCCAAGACAACATAGGAGTGGCTTCGAGACAAGTCTCTGAATGTCCTTGAGTGGCCTAGCCAGAGCCTGGACTTGAACCCGATCTAACATCTCTGAAGAGTCCTGAAAATAGCTGTGCAGCAACGCTCCCCATCCAACCGGACAGAGATTGAGAGGATCTGCAGAGAAGAATGGGAGAAACTCCCCAAATACAGGTGTGCCAAGCTTGTAGCGTCGTACCCAAGAAGACTCGAGGCTGTAATCGCTGTCAACGGTTCTTCAACAAAGTACTGAGTAAAGGGTCTGAATACTTATGTAAATGTGATCGTTTTTTTTAATATACATTTGCAAACATTTCTAAAAACCTGTTTTTGCTTTGTCATTATGGGGTATTGTGTATAGATTGATTAGGGGGAAAAAACAATAATACATTTTAGAATAAGTCTGTAACGTAACAAAATGTGGAAAAGGTGAAGGGGTCTGAATACTTTCCGAATGCACTGCACACCATATACACACTCACTCACACACACTACATTGACACTCCCACACACATTCACATACACTACATAAGCAAACCGACAACACAAACACATGATTTGATGATGCTGCTCTGTTCTTTATCTATCCTGATGCCTAGTCACTTTACCCGGCCTTCATGTACATATCTACCTCAAATACCTTATTATCTATCCTGATGCCTAGTCACTTTACCTTCATGTACATACAGTTGAAGTTGGAAGTTTACATACACCTTAGCCAAATACATTTAAACTCAGTTTTTCACAATTCCTGACATTTAATCCTAGTAAAAATTCCCTGTCTTAGGTCAGTTAGAATCACCACTTTATTTTAAGAATGTATAATAATAGTAGAGAGAATGATTTATTTCAGCTTTTATTTCTTTCATCACATTCCCAGTGGTTCAGACGTTTACATACACTCAATTAGTATTTGGTAGCATTGCCTTTAAATTGTTTAACTTGGGTCAAACGTTTCGGGTAGCCTTCCACAAGCTTCCCACAATAAGTTGGGTGGATTTTGGCCCATTCCTCCTGACAGAGCTGGTGTAACTGAGTCAGGTTTGTAGGCCTCCTTGCTCGCACACGCTTTTTCAGTTCTGCCCACACATTTTCTATAGGATTGAGGTCAGGGCTTTTTGATGGCCACTCCAATACCTTGACTTTGTTGTCCTTAAGCCATTTTGCCACAACTTTGGAAGTATGCTTGGGGTCATTGTCCATTTGGAAGACTCATTTGCGACCAAGCTTTAACTTCCTGACTGATGTCTTGAGATGTTGCTTCAATATATTCACATAATTTTCCTTCCTCATGATGCCATCTATTTTGTGAAGTACCCCAGTCCCTCCTGCAGCAAAGCACCCCCACAGCATGATGCTGCCACCCCCGTGCTTCACGGTTGGGATGGTGTTCTTCGGCTTGCAAGTCCCCCTTTTTCCTCCAAACATAACGATGGTCATTATGGCCAAACATAACTCTGCATCGTTGGGATGGGCTCGTAAGCAAGCATTTCACGGTAAAGTCTACACCAGTTGTATTCGGCGCATTTGACAAATACAATTTTATTTGAAATATCCTATTGTTCTCGGGCGTGAGCTACGTGTCAATCTTGAAATTAGAGCCAGAGCGCAATTCTATGCTGAACAGCACATGCCTCTCGTGGAGATGGCGTGCTCACACCTAGGTTTAATTGAAATGAATAGGAGCGTATCACACTCAGCAAAAGTTACGCATCCGGTGTAGCAGGCCAGTAAGGTTGCAGCAACATCCTGAACAGGGCAGGCCCCTACATACAGCACAGCTGTATTTTTTTGAAAGATAATCTCACCCCGTACGTAAGGAAGTACCTCAGTCCATTATTGGCTCAATAAAAGCTGTGAATGAGCAACAGAGGCACGCGTTTCTGAACAGACTAGTTTACCCAGCCAGGAGTGGCAGTAAGTTTACAGGCTGGAATAAAATGGATCGCCATGACAGAAGTATGAGGTGATTTAAAGCAGGCACGCACACACATCACATCCAAGCAGCTCTGAGGGCTATTGCACCAGTATATGGTTGTGAACTGACGAAGGGTTATTATCACATTAACAGGTAAATCAATAAAAGGGGAATAAACTGGGCAGAGCAGGAGGTGTACAGCTGCTGTAATGGTGGATGTTATTGCTCAGTGAAAACCACCAACTGACACGTAGGACCAGTTTCAGAGACACAGATTAGGACAACAAGGCACTTTCAATGGAGAAGCTCAATTGAGAATGCTTTTTAGTCCAGGACTAGGCTTAATATGCGTCTGGGAAACCCGTAGAGTTTACCTTTAGAGCAGGGGTGTCAAACATACGGCCCGTGAACCGCAAGGTGGTTTGCGCAAAAAAATAGCTAATTTTTTTTTTTTGGGGGGGGGAAACGATCTCAATCAACATTGAAATAACTAAAACTAAGCCTCCCAAGTGGCGCAGAGGTCTAAGTCACTGCATCGCAGTGCTTGAGGCGTCACTACAGACCCGGGTTCGATCCCAGGCTGTGTCACAGCCGGCCGTGACTGGGAGACCAATGAGGCGACGCACAATTGGCCCAGCGTCGTCCAGGTTAGGGGAGGGTTTGGCCGACCAGGATCTCCTTGTCCCATCGTGCTCTAGTGACTCCTTGTGGCAGGCCGGGTGCCAACAAGCTGACTTCGGTCACCAGCGTGACGGTGTTTCCTCTGACACATTGGTGTGGCTGGCTTCCAGGTAAAGCAAGCAGTGCGGCTTGGCAGGGTCGTGTTTCAGAGGATGCATGGCTCTCGACCTTTGCCTCTCCTGAGTCCGTAGGGGAGTTGCAGCGATGGGACAAGACTAACTACCAATTGGGTAAGAAATGACTGAAACTGTGTAGAAATGATAATGGAGCTACATTTACAGTCTCTTTACTCTGTCCAGCTTGCTAACAGTCAGGGAGCGTTAAATTCCAAAAGCGATGGAGAGGAAATATAACACATTTTAAGTGCGGCACTCCGGACCTCACAGGGATAGTCCCCAATGCTGGAAGGGTGTGAAAAAGTTTGGGAATGCATGCCTTAGAGGAACCGCACAGACACATAGAATACCAAATGTACCTCTGGAAGAGCTCTCATGTGTTTTCTACATCTGTTCAATCGCATAATGTGGTACAATGGAGGACGGTGGTTGATATGTTATTTTTTCCTATACTACTATTGTTTTGCATAACAGGATGGTGGAATTTTTAGAAGGTCTGTCTGTTGCGTCTGGTCGCCAACGTGACAGGAAGGCTTACCTTTGAGCCAGGTGAGGGTGCAGTAAACAATGGAAAAATTTGTAACATTTAACCAGTGTCTAAATCACAACAATGCTTTTCATAGATTACTGATTAACAATACTGATGAAGAACAATTTATCTGTGCCACAACTCAAAGCAGAGCTCTATTGTGTTTTTTCCACACGACTGATAGTAACTGTACTGCAGTGGTAACACCTGGAAAACCTCCCTAACACTACTCTCTTGTGACAGCAAAAAAAAATATTTTCAATTGGAGGTTTCAAAGCCAGGCATGAAAAGAGTACTTTTTACACAAATCCAAACGTGGCACAGAAATTGGACTTGTGCTCCCACAAGTATCCCGATGTTTAAGCAGAAAACAGTGAGGAGTGGACATCAGCTTGTTTCGAGGAAAGCCAACCATGGTTCATTCATTCATACATACCTGACTGTAAGTCACTACTGATAGATTGTTTTGGAGCCCATTCGATGCTCTATTTACAGCATTGTGAGACAGTCCGTTTTCATCTTGCTGGATGGCATCCTGCCTGCCCTCCCAGGCTCCTCCAGGCTCTTTGAAGTTGTTGTTGCCTCTGGCGTCGTGTTTGCTCTTCTGTGGCGAGGCGAAAGGGTTGAAGTCTCCCTCCACGTTGCGGTGCGGCTGGGTGTTGAACTCCGTCTCGAAGGAGGACAGTTGCTGTGTCACGCCCAAAAGGCCCCCCACTTCCACGCTGAGGATCACCCAGATCACGTCTGTGTGGGCAGAGAGAGTGACACACACCAGGCGTTAAGGGTGACGTGTTCTGTCCAGGAGACATCACTGGTGGTAGTGCTAGGAGTTAAATACCCCAAATGCTCAGTAATCATTTATAAAAAGTACTCACGAGTTTACATGACATTTTGGTCAAGTTGACTAATTTCAAGACATTGATTGACCACTCAATGTCTTGAAAAAGTACTTCACACTAAAACGTTAGCAATAGAGGTCTTCATGGTTCCGAAATGGATCCGTGGCTTTCCCACCAGACCCAATACGCATTAATATTTTTTTTGCAAAATTGAGACACGTTCCAAATGGACCAGAGGACAGTCAGGCACGTTCCGAAAAGGACCGTGGAAAACAGACCCAAACAGACCCGTGCTGGTTCGGATCTGAGAGTAGAAAGAGAGAAAGAAACCTCCAACTGGGCTCTGCCAGCGCCGTCAATAAACAAGCCATATTGGCTAAATGATCCAGTGACATGTCCTTAAAAACGGCCTATAACAAATTACAAAAAAAATATTTGTTGTGTTTCGATGTGCAGCATATTCAAAACGTTATATTATATTTATTGCTTTTTCCATTTTTACTTTCCTAAAACAATAATTGTCTACCTCACGGTTCAGCTGTTGGAGATTTGAGCGATAAATGCATCAGGGCATTGCATGCATATCGGCCTATGCGTCCAATAAATATTAAAGGAGACAAGCCTGCAGTAGCTAACCCTAATAATAGCCATACCCCTCTGTAGCTCAATTGGTAGAGCGCGGCGCTTGTAACGCCAGGGTAGTGGGTTCGATCCCCGGGACCACCCCCATACGTAAAAATGTATGCACACATGACTGTAAGTCGCTTTGGATAAAAGCGTCTGCTAAATGGCATATTATTATTATTATTTTATTATTACAAAAGTTGCTTAAATTTATTAGGGTAATATGAAAAGTCAAGTCAAGTCATGGTTTATAGGGGAAATACGAACAGGTTATTATATTGCAGCATTAAATTAATGACCAACAAAGGCGATTGGCCTACCGTAGGCCAACCCAACAAATGACATTAATAGGCTAATGCTATTTATTTTACAACAGGCCTACTTTTAACCTTAAACTAAATAGGGAGGACAAAATTAAAAGACAGTTAGAACTTAATTTAGCCAACAAAAATGTATCAACAAAATGAGACAAAACACTTTTTGCATAGGCTATTTAAAGAACTGGTTTAGATGATTAAATATGCCTAGAATAATAATAATAATAATAATGACTAAACAATTGATAATAAATACAAAAATAAATAAATTAAAGGTCAAAAATTGCATCAAACCTGAATAGCGGGTTGCACACAGTCCATTTGGTCACGCCAGCGTTCTTCTTTGTCCACTACAATATTAAAACTTGTCCCCGAGGACATTCCCCTCGTCGGCTTCTTTTCCCTGAACTCTTTCTCCTCTATCTTTAGTTTTACTTCAATGAAAAAGGACTTCATCTTCACAATCAACAGTAGCTTAGGCCAAGACCCATTTTACTGGCCATCTCTCTTTCCCTCTCCTCAGCAGCAGGCGCACCAGTTTCAGCTGGACATAAGCTGTACGTTTTATTGAGTTGCAATTGGCTAAAACAGATAACAAGCTCGCAGTTCTCATCACACAAACTCTAAATTAACAGAAGACAGATCCAATCGGGTCCAGTCGGTAAAGACATTTTAATTGCACATATCCGAGACCAGTGGCAATTATATCAGACCCGACCCAGATCTATGACAAAAGTCAGAATTTAGGACCCACACCCGCTACGGTCCCATGTCGGATCTCGGAATTTCAGGTCTGTTGAAACCGTGAAGACCTCTAGTTAGCACACAAACATGCAGGTTGACGTTTATTGTCATGAGTCTTGCCCTGGAGGCAGAACTGAGTAATTTCTGCTAGATGGGCCAGCAGCAAAGTCAAAATTGGCTTTATTGTAAAAATCCATGAAAACAAACATTTGCTTTATGGTCTTAATTAAAGGTTAGGCATTAGGGTTAGCAGTGTGGTTAGGGTTAAGGTTAGGTTTAAAATCAGATTTTATGACTTTGTGGCTGTGCCAACTACTGACCACTCGGCCGAGCTGCCTCCAGAGCAAGATCCATGACGATAAACGCTAACCTGCCACAAACATGCAAAGGTTAACGTGTGTGGATTATTTCTAGAATTGGTTACACCCTTATAAAACAAATTGTCAACAAAACAGTGTATCTGCGCCGTTCTGGACCTACCTCCATAAAACAGCCCTGTGGGTGTGCACATCCTCCATTGGCCCTGGTACATGCCGGGAGCAGCGGGGCTGCGCATCTGCACACTGACATCTGAGATCTCCTGGGGTTCTAGACAGCGCACCATCACCATGTTGACGTGGCCAAACTGGTCCCCTCCAATGTACTTCAGACATACCCCGGGTGGCCAGGAATCTGCACCTGTGAAACAGACAGACAAAGAGATTACACACGTTTACAGGCGAGTGGTTTCCGGGTCTTACATTGCAGTGAAGGTTTTTCTTATTGTGTGACTTTACATTGATGAATCATAGGTAGGGTGATATGATCCGGATGACTGAAAGGTAACCCCACCTGTGTTCTGTATCCTCCAGATCTTTGTGAATGGTGTGTCGGGGGGAACAGACTCTCCCTCACCAATCGTAACATCCTCCACAAAGGACATGGATTGTGTGTTGATGCTGGGACTCTCAACATCATAATAGGCACCGATGGCTGCCTGTAGATTCCTATTTTAATGGCAAAAGGCATTGAGAAGAGTGGGTGAGTCAATGTCATGTTTAATTTGCAAGTATTCAAACCTGATCCAGTTCCTGAAACTACTTCACAACAACATTTAAAATAAGAAAAAAAAAAAAATATTGCTGATAATGATTTCCCCTGGCAAGAATATGAGTCGAGGTCATTTATCAGGATCGTTTTATTTTGTTCAGTGATAGTCGTTTTAGGCTAGTTTATCTCACTACCGATTAAATTACGTCATCATATCACAAACACTTGTTAGGTGATATAAAATGTACGCCTAGAGCCCATTGGTGCGAGCTTGAACATGATATCTACACCACAACTAGCTAGCTAACGTTACACAATTAACAAATCTGGTCAGGTTAGCTATGGTGAATATTTCTGTTGCAATACGTCCTTTGTTTTTAGCAAAGGTAGCTAGACTTAGTTAGCCAATGGTAATCTATTACAATGTATCTGGCGTTAGCTACAGTTTCACATAGCTAACGTTAGCCTAGCTATGTCCTAGCAGCAATGACAGTCAATGCAAATCATCGACACAAGAAGCTATATAGCGATACATGAAAGAGAAAAAGAGACAGCCTCCGTGACTACTCAAAAGGTACCTAGCTAGCTACTATGCAAGCTAGGCCCCACATCCCCGAACTCACCAGTTGCTCATGTCAAGGAAGAAAGCGCATCCTGCCGGGTTGACCTGGAAGCCCAGCAGTCTTTGGAACTCTGAGATGAGGACGTCCTTGTCAGTGGTGCCCATGCAGTTGAATTTCTGCACGAGCTCCGAGTCCAGGTCTATGTCCATGCCCTCCATTGGCAGGTCTCCCGTGGCAGCGACGGGGGGTTCTCTCCTAATTTAGTCCGAGGCCTTATCCAGTCATAACAATCAGTTCAACAACAACAAGCGTAATACGCATGGCGGCGGGAGGGACAACGTTGGACGTCGGTGCAATCGTACGTCACCTTTCGTCACGGTGTGTGGACTAGAATTAGGAATTAAACATCGTTCATTTAATAGGATCTCTATGTGTGGACTTTTGCCTACGTCATCTGTTGCTATTCGAGTTATTATTTTCATTGGCTTTTCTTTAGCTAATGATAAAACAGATTAGGTCATTCAATTAATGCTGTTCATCCATCTTTTTGTAGTTACTATACTGAACAAAAATATAAACGCAACATGCAACAATTTCAAAGATTTTACTGAGTTACAGTTCATAGAATGAAATCTGTCAATTGAAATAAATTCATAGGCTGTAATTTATGGACTTCACATGACTGGGCAGTGGCACAGACATGGAAGGGCATAGGCCCACCCACTTGGGAGCCAGGCTCAGCCAGTCAGAATTAGTTTTATTTCAGACATAAATAATCCTCCTCGGGGATCTTTTATTTCAGCTCATGAAACATGGGACCAACACTTTACATGTTGCGTTTATATACATATATGTTCAGTATAGTTAGCTCTGGTCCATGGTGCAGCTATATATTTTGATTTCAGTGACTTGGTTAACTTGCTTTTTTGTATCCCACAGATTTGATTGTATTTTTTGGGGGGGTTACTACACGATTCCATATGTGTTATTTCATAGTTTTGATATCTTCACTATTATTCTACAATGTAGAAAATAGTAAAAATACAGAAAAACCCTTGAATGAGTAGAAGCAGGTAGCTTAGTGGTTAAGAGTGTTGTGCCAGTAACTGAAAGGTTGCTGGTTCTAATCCCCGAGCCGACTAGGTGAAAAATCTGTCGATGTGCCCTTGAGCAAGGCACTTAACCCTAATTGCTCCTGTAAGTCCCTCTGGATAAGAGCGTCTGCTAAATGACTAAAATGTGTGTCCAAGCTTTTGACTGGTACTGTATGTCAGAACCTGGAAAGAGACTTCCAACGCCCTCCTTTTGTGATGAACATGAATTAGTGGGCTCTAATTCATGTTCAGTCAAATGTTTCTCTGTTAATTTTGCCAAGATAAACTTTTTTATTTCAGAAAGAAGGTCTCTGTTGTGTTTCTTTAGATAGCTGCAGCACTCAACCTTAAATTGCATCCTGTATACTATAATAATTTTACCAATACGTTATTGAGCTCATTTCTAGTGGTGGAAATTATATTTTAGATGGTTTATTTGAGTTTTTTCATGGTTTATTTGAGTTTTTTTCCTTAAAAAAAAGTCACCAGAACCAAGCTTGTCAGTACTTATACATATTTTGTTTTTGGGACCAGAGGAAACACTGACACATTTACATTAGTCATTTAGCAGACGCTCTTATCCAGAGCGACTTACACAATGTATACACTGAATGCATTTTTTTTTTCATACCCCCCGTGGGAATCGAACCCACAACCCTGGCGTTGCAAACACCATGCTCTACCAACTGAGCTACATCCCTCAGCATGACATAAGTATTTGATCACCTACCAACCAGTAAGAATTCCGGCTCTCACAGACATGTTAGTTTTTCTTTAAGAAGCCCTCCTGTTCTCCACTCATTACCTGTATTAACTGCACCTGTTTGAACTCGTTACCTGAATAAAAGACACCTGTCCACACACTCAATCAAACAGACTCCAACCTCTCCACAATGGCCAAGACCAGAGAGCTGTGTAAGGACATCAGGGATAAAATCGTAGACCTGCACAAGGCTGGGATGGGCTACAGGACAATAGGCAAGCAGCTTGGTGAGAAGGCAACAACTGTTGGTGCAATTATTCGAAAATGAAAGAAGTTCAAGATGACGGTCAATCAACCTCGGTCTGGGGCTCCATGCAAGATCTCACCTCGTGGGGCATCAATGATCATGAGGAAGGTGAGGGATCAGCCCAGAACTACACGGCAGGACCTGGTCAATGACCTGAAGAGAGCTGGGACCACAGTCTCAAAGAAAACCATTAGTAACACACTACGCCGTCATGGATTAAAATCCTGCAGCACACGCAAGGTCCCCCTGCTCAAGCCAGCGCATGTCCAGGCCCGTCTGAAGTTTGCCAATGACCATCTGGATGATCCAGAGGAGGAATGGGAGAAGGTCATGTGGTCTGATGAGACAAAAATTTAGCTTTTTGGTCTAAACTCCACTCGCCGTGTTTGGAGGAAGAAGAAGGATGAGTACAACCCCAAGAACACCATCCCAACCGTGAAGCATGGAGGTGGAAACATCATTCTTTGGGGATGCTTTTCTGCAAAGGGGACAGGATGACTGCACCGTATTGAGGGGAGGATGGATGGGGCCATGTATCGTGAGATCTTGGCCAACAACATCCTTCCCTCAGTAAGAGCATTGAAGATGGGTCGTGGCTGGGTCTTCCAGCATGACAACGACCCGAAAACACACAGCCAGGGCAACTAAGGAGTGGCTCCGTAAGAAGCATCTCAAGGTCCTGGAGTGGCCTAGCCAGTCTCCAGACCTGAGCCCAATAGAACATCTTTGGAGGGAGCTGAAAGTCCGTATTGCCCAGCGACAGCCCCGAAACCTGAAGGATCTGGAGAAGGGCTGTATGGAGGAGTGGGCCAAAATCCCTGCTGCAGTGTGTGCAAACCTGGTCAAGACCTACAGGAAACGTATGATCTCTGTAATTGCAAACAAAGGTTTCTGTACCAAATATTAAGTTCTGCTTTTCTGATGTATCAAATACTTATGTCATGCAATAAAATGCAAATGAATTACTTCAAAATCATACAATGTGATTTTCTGGATTTTTGTTTTAGATTCCGTCTCTCACAGTTGAAGTGTACCTATGATAAAAATTACAGACCTCTACATGGTTTGTAAGTAGGAAAACCTGCAAAATCGGCAGTGTATCAAATACTTGTTCTCCCCACTGTATGTGCGTACGTACCCACTGTCAACTGTCACCAAGTATGATTCCACTATGTTGTCCTCCTTCAAGCTGAGCACACAAAGAGGAATTTTGGAAAATCCTTGAGTCATGAGTTGCACCTTTCCAACATCCCTCGATGTTGGAGAACTGCACACTGGGAGTGCACACACTGTACATTTATTAAGAACCAGTTTTTAAGATTCCTGTACTCCTCAGCATCTGCTGTAGAAGGACACTTGATGGGAATATGGCATTCTCACATTCATAGAACCTTGTAGTTGGCTTGGCCAGCAGCATCAGGGAACTTGATGTGATTGTCTTTCAGTTCACATATTTCATTGCAGACTTTGTGGACTATTCTGCATAGTCAGTTCACTTACACCACACATATCTCCTGTTTCAAAATGGAAGGTTCCAGATGCCAAAAAACCTCAAGGTGATCAGTACCTGTAGGGAAGGAGGGATGGGCCTTCCCCAAAGAGAGCCAGATGAAAGCCTTGGCTCAAGCAAACAAATATCAGCTGCATTGTCTTTGTACATACGGAAACGGTCACGGAAATGTATTTCATTAAATAATTCAGTGGGTTGCTCCTGACTATAACCACCCTACTGTCTGGCCTTGGTTGTGCTCTTTGATCATCAAAAAATCAATTTTCCTCCATTGCCAAGGTCAACCTGGGGGCCAACATCAATCAAATTTCAATCAAATGTATTTATAAAGCCCTTTTTACATCAGCAGATGTAGACGCACGGTGGCTAGGAAAAACTCCATAGAAAGGCAGAAACCTAGGAGGAAACCTAGAGAGGAACCAGGCTCTGAGGGGTGGCTAGTCCTCTTCTGGCTGTGCCGGGTGGAGATTATAAGAGTACATGGCCATTTAAGGCCAGATTGTTCTTCAAGATGTTCAAATGTGCATAGATGACCAGCAGGGTCAAATAATAATGACAGTGGTTGTAGAGGGTACAACAGGTCAGTACCTCAGGAGTAAATGTCAGTTGGCTTTTCATAGCCAAGCATTCAAAGGTCGAGACAGCAGGTGCGGTAGAGAGAGAGAGAGTCGAAAACAGCAGGTCCGGGACAAGTTAGCACGTCCGGTGAACAGGTCAGGTTTCCATAGCCGCAGGCAGAACAGTTGAAACTGGAGCAGCAGCACGACCAGGTGGACTGGGGACAGCCAGGAGTCATCAGGCCAGGTAGTCCTGAGGCATGATCCTAGGGCTCAGATCCTCCGGGAGGGGAGGGAGAGAGGGAGAAAGAGAGAATTAGAGGGAGCATACACACAGGACACCAGATAAGAGAGCAGAATTACACCAGATATAACAGACTGACCCTAGTCCCCCGGCACATAGACTACTGCAACATAGATACTGGAGACTGAGACAGGGGTGGGTCGGGGGACACTGTGGCCCCGTACGACGATACCCCCGGACAGGGCCAACCAGGCAGGATATAACCCCACCCACTTTGCCAAAGCACAGCCCCCACACCACTAGAGGGATAACAACATACCACCAACTTACTACCCTGAGAGAAGGCTGAGTATAGCCCACCAACTTACTACCCTGAGAGAAGGCTGAGTATAGCCCACCAACTTACTACCCTGAGAGAAGGCTGAGTATAGCCCACCAACTTACTACCCTGAGAGAAGGCTGAGTATAGCCCACCAACTTACTACCCTGAGAGAAGGCTGAGTATAGCCCACCAACTTACTACCCTGAGAGAAGGCTGAGTATAGCCCACCAACTTACTACCCTGAGAGAAGGCTGAGTATAGCCCACCAACTTACTACCCTGAGAGAAGGCTGAGTATAGCCCACCAACTTACTACCCTGAGAGAAGGCTGAGTATAGCCCACGAAGATCTCCTCCACCGCACGAGATCGAGGGGGCGCAAAACAGGAATATCACGTCTGTGACTCAACCCACTCAAGTGATGGACCCTCCTAGGGACAGCATGGAAGAGCATTAGTAAGCCAGTGACTCAGCCCCCGTAACAGGGTCAAAGGCAGAGAATCCCAGTGGAGAGAGGGAAGCCGGCCAGGCAGAGACAGCAAGGACCCTGCCCTGCCTCCAGCTGTTTGCTTAGAAATTCTAGGGACAATAAGGAGGCCTGCATCTTGTGACCTTTAGCGTACGTGTAGGTATGTACG